AACCGTTGCGCCAACTTGTGTCCGCGACACGAGTTTCCGGAAGTTGTACCTACCGCGCGAATGCGATTCCCCGCAGCAAGGCCTTACGCGACCATGAATTATTAATAATAGGTACAATGTTACCTATGGCGACGACGACGGAGACACAACTCCAAATCCAACACACGTACAACACTGTTATAATATCGTATTCGGCGCAGTGCGAGTTATGTGAAGGTGGTTGCAACCGTTACGTAAAATTTAATTTCGATTCAACCTATTCAGACCCGTCTCGTCTATAATACATAATAATGAATAAGTCTATGTTCTCGCAAGAGGAGAGAAAAAACAATACGCAATTTGTGTTATCTAAATTCGTATGCGCACACACACACACACACACACACACACACTGTTGTTGTATTCTGCGACCTTGCGCTCAACCAGTAAAATTATTTCTAAGACAATGTCATAATGATCTATACTGTTGAACATATATATGATTATTATAGTCCCGAAAGGTCCGCGATTGGACTCGAGAACGTTTCGCGCTCAATCGTCCGTATACCGCATACCCGGTGCAAAGTTCGATAACACCGAGTTCGGGCTTAGGTGTGCGGTACCCACAGGTATACACGAGTAGGTGTATTATAATAATAATATCGTTGTCGTACAGATAGTTGAGGTTTCCGAACAGCGGTTTCCGTGCGAATAAAATAATGTACATCACGATGTACGGAAAAACCGCAGCAGAAGAAAACGGCGGAACAATGGACGACTGCGCGTACAGTGGGTACCTCCTACCTATAATATTATATAGCGGCCGGAGAGAGGTACCTATATAAAACCATGGGAAAAATCACGAAGGCGTGTAAAACGAGCGAAAAAACCGAATAGAAGGAGACGAAGAGGGAGAAAAAATCCGAAGACACGCCACCGCGACTTCGCGACGTCGGTAATTATCGTATATATATATATATGTACCCGGGCAAATTGTCGGAACGCATTGTGCCAGTTTGCTGACCAACCGAGCGTCTTCCAGAACGTTGAACCCGCGCGGGTAATGACGACCCGTGAAGCGAAACGAAATTGACCTTGTTTTTTATTTGGCTGTTTTTTTTTTACATTATTTTTTAATTCTCATTATTTTTCCGTCCGCGCACATTCGCGCGATCTCGGTGGGAGTTGTACATACAATATACATTTTTTATTATATACATATTATATACAGGTATCGTAGAAGTATTGTGATTCCGACGTAATTTTCGTTTCTCTACCGTTAGCTGCTATCGTCTTCCCGTCGCCTCAGGGACCGTCGAGGAAACCGAAAGCCCCTCGAAAAGTCGTATTCGGCGATCACATTATATATATATGCCTTGATGGCGTGGCGGAGGAGATGCTGTGCCGGAAAGCGGTGATCGGGGTCCGCGATCAAATTGACGGCGCCGTCCGCGGAGGGGTAACGGGAATGTGAGAAAACCGGTTTTTCCGTTGACGAGAAACAGAACACAACGCAAGCCCGAGAATAATGATGATGATGACGACGATGATGCGATGATAATAATTATTCTCGAGGCGACTATATAATATTTATCATTGATAAATTATATAGGTTTACTGCATATATTATTATATACGCACTTTATAATATATCAATATCTGTAATGCGGAAACGAACGATTTACATTATCGCATTTGTCTGGTAAAACATTGAAGTGAGATGTAAACTGTAAATTATTGTTAATTTCATGCAATACGGTTTTCTTTTTTATTAAACGATTTTTCCCGTTCGTTCGAATAAATTAGACGGGTTGAATTGTTTTACAAATTTTGTTCGCGTGCTTTGCCAAAAAATTATTTATCATAATATTACCACCGAGATATCCAAAGAATGTATGTCTATATATCGGCCCACTATACAACACATTATATATTTATATCTATAGTGACCGAACAACAGGTTTTCATCTGTAGAAGGAAATTGTAAGTCATTTGCTTAACAACATCTGCTTTAATCCCGTTCCATACTTATATGCTAAAGGTAGCGATTTTATGACACGAGTGCGTATTACTGATTTTGCGGTATACTTTCTTTTATAGTTTCCGAAAATAATGATGTACACCTGTATATTATGTTGTTGGCGTTGGCTAAAACTAATGAGCGATTTTCGAACGGCAGAAACACGATGGAAAAAAGTTAATACCTCTCAGATATTTTTATTATAAAATAAGTATATTTTTTTTCTAGACTATATACCTCTTCAGACTTATTATACCCAATAATCTTCTTTTGTATGTGCCTATATACTAACAATATTGAAATTAACACACATAGCTTTAGTCACTATTATTTTATTTTATTTAAATATTTTACATTTTCATTTTAGATTCTTAGAGCATTTATGTATTATTTTTTAATAATATTTTAACTACTGTTCACAAAAATAGGAGGAAATTAAAACATATTTTTGCATATACCTATCTTATTTCGTAGATCATGTTGAGTGAGTAATTATTTATTTATAGGTACAAATATAATTTATTATTTTAAGTCATCATCATATTTGAGAATGATTTAATAGTAATAAAATGGTTTTTATGATATTTTTCTGAATTCTTAAAAAAGAAATATTAGTCTTGCGGCTCACTGTTTCAAACTAAACGTATCCTAAAATGATTTAAACTATATAAAAAATATTCACACATTAATATTTTAAGTCATTAAGATAATTTATAATAACTATATCGGTTAAATAATATACCAAATACAATCGATTATTGGTTTAGGTAAATTTAAAAAGTTATTTCTTATTCATATAGAATATATTATAAAAGTTACTGTTATATGTAGTTACCTACTATTCTTATTATATTTCACGTTTTGACTTTTGGCCTCCTGTCGCGTCAAGTTGCGATGGCGTTAGGTGATCATTATATTTACATAGTGTACCTACCTATACAAATGTGAAGGGAAAAAATCCTTGTCATATTTTTGGAACCACACTGGTACACAAAAGGAGTATAAACACAAGGCGTGGCCAAAATAGGATTACATGTGAATTGCCAAATATTTTTTTTTTTATAAATTTTTCTCACCGGCTTGCATTGTAATCGCTCGCTGCGGGAGCAGTCCAAGCTTCGAAAATTGTCTATAAACGCCCGCGGAGACCTGAGGTTATAAGAACCATCAGAAACTATTATTCACCTACTATACAAAGGGTATAAATAGATAGGTACTAGATAGGTATGCACAAACAAGTGTACAACACCACTTGCCACTTGCCACTTGTACAACACCACTTGCACGAATAAAACTAGGGGCAAACTGAGATTTATCGATTTCGGGTTCCAAGACCCACAATAGATAGACTACCGTATACGGCGAGATTCAGCACCCCTCATAATTCTCTATGACTCAATAACCGACAACAGACACATTCAACGGATGTGCATTATAACATTCGAAACAAATTAACCGAGTAAGCCAATGTTACAAATATTGCAATACCTATACATGTATAATAGGTGTTTTACCGATATTATCTGTTGATGACAGGTCGACAACGGTGGCCGTCACCAGGCTACAATAATCGATAATGTGGAGCTAAGAATATGAACGAGTCACAAAAAGTAAATCAATTATTATAATGAATTGAATGAAAGTAGGTACCTATATTATTATATTACATTCAATGAAAACAGAATTTTTATCTAAAAACAAATAAATATAATCAACAATAGTAAAACAATGACGAGATCTATTTAAACAAAATATAATGACTGGATAATTGAGAAGAATTCTTTCGGCTATATTGACTTATAATATAGTGCGCGTGTTGCTTACATTTTCGTTCTATGAATTGACGATTATTAATAAGTACGTTATACGTCCTGACAAAAAAATAAAAAAATAATATTTATATCGTTGATATAAATTAATAAGTTGAAAAATTCATCTTAATTGAAATTTAGTCATGTACGAGTATGCATCTAACTTACATAATATTATAGTTACAAAAAAATTTGAATGCCTGCCTATAATATTACAAAATATAAAATACCGTACCGGGCGTTTAAGTTTCCTTACAGACGGCGGCTGGTCATGCGTACCAGCCGCGAGTCAATTTATTAATGTGTTAAATATGATCACGGTATACAGTTTACGTAGACGTACGTAGTATAATAAATTACGTATTCCAAGTATATAATATAATGTAATATATAAATATACGTGGTGCCACAAGCAACCGCCGCATCTAAGTCTGATCGATTACTATATGGTTCCTAGAGCGTGCGAGCTTGGACACGAATATCTCATGTGCGGGTGGTATATAATGTTACATCGTAAAAAAAAATTTGTAGGTTTTATAAAAAATCCTATATAATAATAGTGAGTTAGGAGAAAAACTGCTTCACCGTTAACCCGATCACAATATTATTGCGCTATGGATATAATATAAGGTGCGTATAAGTGCCAGAACAGCTTAAAATGTATAGTCTTATTAAATATTTATTATAACTTACATAAGAGTATTATAGTAGAATTATATTTTAAAACCAATAATAAATTTTTCCCTCTAACGGTATATAATAAAAATTTCCCGCTGGACAATATAATTTGTTTTAATACCGGCAAATAATAAATTAACTTAATAATTGAATAAAATAATAAATAAATTTAATAATTAAATAAAATAAGAAATAAATTTAATGATTAAATTAAATAATAAATAAATTAAATAATTAAACTAAATAATTTATTAATTTCATAATAATATTAAAATATTTGTAACGAAAAAATCGGCTTCTGGGTTAGCTGTTCGGGTGTTATACGCACCCCATGCGTACCTATACATCGCGTTATATATATACCACCTAATACACGTACTGTAGTTTAATATATTATTAAAAATTATATTATATTATTGTTATCGCGACGGTAAACACTATTTTGTGTAAACGAATAGTTAATAATATGATATTTTGACGATGATAATAAAAAATGTCACACTGGGCCTTACCTTGAGGCGTTTTCAACACCGGCGACTCTTGGACAACTTTGGACTGCGGCTGCTGCTTCGGCGGCGGTGGTGGCGGTGGTGGAGGCGGCAGATTCTGCCTTATCGGTATAGCCGGCGGCGGTGGAGGCGCAGACTGGTGATGGTGCTGATAGTGGTGCTTTATGAACGGCGGCGGTGGTGACGGTAACCGGTCATGGTGATTGTGGTCGTTATGATAGTTTTGCAGCGACTGTACCAGCGGGTCGGAGGAAACGTGCGCGTTTCCCTTTTGGTTTTCCAGCAGTTTCTGTTGCTGCTGGTGCAATCGGTTTTTGATGAGGAATATCTTCGGCATTTTGACGTGGTGGATGGGTCACGGGCAGAGTCACTGTGGTGACACAGATATGCTTTTAACGACGGAGACGAAAAAAATCGCAAAAAAAATTGTTTATCAGCAAAGAAAATTGACTGTTTCGTCCGTGAGTGTGAAGTCCACGAGGGTCACTGTCAGCCGCGCCGGTAAGGTGCGTAAAGAGCGGGTCGGCGGCACGTACACCACCGGAACAGATTCATAATGAATAATTGTTTTGTCTGGTGTGATATATTTTAGGATTACACTTTTGACGACGAATTCGGCAGATACAATGTAATCTGTAAGAGTTAGTATAAAATAATAACGAAAAAAAAACCGCACTAAAAAAAAAAAAATTAAAAAGACGCAACGAGCGAATTTACACAATAATAATAATTATCCGAAAATATAAATACCAAAATCAAAATTTTCTACTACTAATAATAATAATAATAATAATAATAATAATAATAATAATAATAATAATGCAACGGACGACCAAACGGTACGTCGGTGAAATCGGTCGTCGGATTATGTCGGACGGACGAATCGTCTGACGGACGCGACGGCGGAGAAGTAAGAACTGGCTAGAGAACCAGCGAAGCCGTTGCCGGCGGCGTGCGGAGACCCTCCACTTCACGGGCGGTTGCGGCGGCGGTACCAATGTGGGCGTGGCGATGCTCCACGGGTGGGGGGTTGTCGGCCGTGTATGTGACCGTTGTGGCGGCTGACGAGTGGTGGCGTGGCGGTACAGATCGCGGGCACGTAGAAGACCGTGTCCGGACCACTGCCAAGATCATGGTTTCTGCGGTTGCGGCGGCGGCGGCGGCGGCGGTGGTGGTGGTAAAAGAAGAAACAGAATAGTAATAATAATAATAATCGTACTGTAAAGAATAGAGAAAAACGACAAATACTATAATAGTAATAATAACGCGGCGGGGAAACCAGTCTGATGTAACCGGTGGCGCGCATGCGCGGGGTACGTACCACAGCGTTGAACCCGTTCGACGGAACACGATATTCGTACACACGCGCACACGCACACACGCACATGCACGCGCACATGCAACAGGTATATAATATATTATATTATTATTATATTATCGTCTCCGTCCTGTTATACCCTCCCTTTGACCGTATTTACCGCACTGCGCTCTGCTTGCCCATCCCCGCCCACCGACCCACCGATGACCGCTCCGCCGTCGACGACCAGCCCCCTCACCCACCCACCCACCCCCCACGGCCACAACCGTATTCGACGTGTACGACGACGACCCGCTATAGTCCATCTTGTCTACCGTTGCCGATATAATAATTGTACTTATACATTATATACAGGATGATTCGCATGTCTTCGTCCGATTACGAATTTCTATGGGTCGCAGCAATCGCAATTCACATGGGCCAATCAGAGGTCCCTGGCCCCAATAGGCCACTGTATCCAAAAGAGGGCCTCTCGCTTTTGCATAGGCCCCACAAAATAGCTCTGAATAATGTATGGTTAGGTATATATAATATATATAGGTACGTGCCATATTGAAAAGATAAGATATAGTCAAGTCTATTTTCTTTTACATTTTTTCATTTTCTTTGCTGATTTCGTTTCTCGCGAACGTTCATTATCAAACAAATACCGTATTTTGAATAGTGCAGGATATGTCTGGGCGGCCAGTGGAGACATTCATTTATTGTAAGTTGTATCAATCTATATTACAACTTGAATATTTTAAGAATATTTTTGACTTCACACCAACCTGTACCTGCATTTTAAAAATAAATATATGATTGAAATTGGATAAAGACTTTTGAATCATCCTGTATAGTGTATATTATATATATTTATGTACTATTATGTTACATTGTATTATATTATATTGTGCGTATATAGCGTGTACACACAACGTACGATATTATCATTATTATTATTATTATTATTACTATACACTCTCCTCTCCGAAGACCGAATCAGTTCGACCGGTTTTGTATTCATTTATCCACGTATATATATTATATATATATAAGTACCGATATACATATATATTATACCATATGCCTGTAGTCTTAGATAGGTTATTTCTATAGTTTTTCATTTTCTGTTTCTGTCTCTCTCACACTCTCCCTCTCTCTCTCTCTCTCACTCACTCCCTCTCCGAGGATAAACAAGAGCTTCGCCACAGAGTCAATGTCAAAACACGACGGACGATAAGTTTTACTTTTCGCCATTTGTTGTTTTATGTAGGTATACGTATAAATATTATGTCCGCCGCCGACGTGTACCATTCTAAACTGTAAAATCGAACGCTCACTGCTGCAATCTCCAAACGACCCACACATATCGCATTATTATTATTATCATCTGCATAAATACTCCGCGCATTGTGAGATTCATATTTTTTTACGCCGATTTCAAACATTATATCACACTGCTTATAATCAAACCAACAGTAAACGGTAAACGCGACGTCATCTATTATAAACAACGCTGCTCGGTAAATATTGGTCGCTTATGAAATGCGTAGGTTTACATGCACTCTATACGTATACAACGAAACGATAGTTTAGAATTTGTAGTTAATTGATTGTCGCCAACAAAAAAACCACAATTATAGATACATTAAGATAACAGACGAACTTATGACTCAGTAGGCCTAAATTGTCAAAAAGTGCAATTATGGGTCTAGACTGTTGGAAAAATATGTTTGGACAATATGCCATTACTATTTTATATTAATTCTTTAATATACATTTATAATATGAAACCATTTTTTATACATTTGACACAAAGAAAACTGCATAGCTGAAACAAATAAAACAAAATAAATCGTTAGTTTTCTTAATAATATTATAAGATGATTACTTATTGTAGTGGTCACTAAAGTGATAGATATTGACGTGTAATAAACATACTAAATACCGAGTGTTGAGTAACCAGTATGGGTATAATTAGGTATTATAGTATTATATTTCCAACAGCCTATAATATACCTCCTGGAAAAAGAAAATTTAACGCACGTCGGAAAAAATTCGATGAAAAAATATTGTATCTTAACTCTCAATTGATGTATTATATGGCCGTATATTCTGCATAATAGGCAATTGACCACTTATATAGTTTGGCGTTTTTGATTTACAATAAAAAACGATTCCATACAATATTATCTGGGCATAGATATTAATATTATAATACAGTGTTAAGATTTACCTGACAACAATAGTTAACATTGGGTTAAAACAGCGTTTATATAAAGGTATAGGTACTTATATTAATTCTTCACGCAGTTGTTATTTGCAATTTTATCAAACACTATAGGTATACCGGATAATTCGAAAAATACCGTCTGCAGTGTGTTATAAATCCTCGTCAATACAGTTATTTTGTATCCACCTATATATATTTTTTATGATTATACTATTATACATCCAAATTTTTGTAGGCATTTTGTAACGAGTTATATTTTTCAAATATGTATGCTCCATATAAAGAGTTTACAATTTAAAAATATTTTAGTAAATATAAACATATTAATTAATATTAACATCGAATATAAATATTAGTATATTATTATAATTTATAATCAATGATATTATATTATTATTATGTTTTATGAAAGCTGATATTAAATAATTGTTTTTTGTATGCATGCTGATCCCAAAAATCGAAAACAAAACGATTTATGTTTTGAAAAAATAAACTTCAAAAACATATTATTAATTGCAGATATTATAAATATGATGATGCATAATACGTAGGTATATATATGCTACAACAGGTATATGCTGTAGGAATGCTTATCGAACATCTCCGGACTCCTCCACACGTGTAGTAGATAATCGACATCGTGTTTTCGTGTGTACCTATACTGTATACATTACAATTTACAATTACGATTACCTATACACAAAGAACGACATGACAATAGAATCGGATAGAATAGAAAGAAGCAATGGTTTTGACAACAAGCCTGCAGAATTTGAAAGTGTCCAAAAGAATTGGTAAGGTAAAAAAAAAAAGAATACACTTTTTAGTCAATTATAATAATTATTATTAAAACTATATACACAACTGTAGTCTGCAGCGATGCATTTACCGTAGAGTGGGCCATCATCGGTGTGGTCGCAGTTTGGTTGACGAATGTTCTACATAAAATAATATAAAAAAAAAACTAGAAAAATCGGTGGCTTGGACTGTGGTCTGTGAATGTAAAATAAAAACTGTATAATATGTTTATTTATAGAGTGCATCTAATTTAAATACACTATAATAATATTGTTGTATTTACTGTGCCACTGCAAGCGGAGATTGGGTGGTGCTTGGTGGGCTTGCCCTACAGAAATATTGAAAGCCCCCCCCCCCAAAAAAAAAAATGATTGAACATTTTTCAAAGCCCCACTTGACATTTCTTATTTTATAAAGAAAGACTTTAGCCCCCCTAAAATTCAATCAAATCTCAGCCTATTGTCTTAATAGGATCCACTATCTGCCGTGTCCTATACGTAAATCTGGCGACTCCAACGATTTCTATTATGATGCTGTTCCGTCGCAATGCGATGCGACGAAATACAAACGGTTTTGTTTTTTTGTCGCATTTGTTGGAATCCTCTGCAGCAGCTCTCTGGGGCACGTGTATGATGTAATACATATTGTACTCAACAATTAACTTGAGTTAAGAACGTTAAGCTATATAAGTTAATATGTAACAAACAATATTATATTTAACTTTAAAAGTTTAAAGTTATACTTAATACTAATAATGTAGAGAAAAACATTAACTTAAGACAGTGAAGTTTGTTCTTTAATTACCACCAGGGACCAGGGTCATACATATTGTACATATTAAGATAATATTATAGTGATTGTGGAACTTAAATTTTTTTTAATGATAACTAAATATTTTTTCAAAAATACATCCACTCTATAATATCTGCAGTAGCTTAGCAAACTGCAGCACGTTTGTGTCAACTAAATTACTATCTACTAGTTATACGAATTGAGGAATATTTAT